AACAAAGTAAGAAAGAATACAAAAAAATTAAATAAGTTGCTAGCCAGCAGAGTTGGCTTTACTGAATGCTAATACACTTTTTTCTGCGGGGCATAAGATTATCTTGAAGATAAATATTTCTATTAAAAGATCTCAATCATCGAGATAAGAAGCTATAAAAAGAACCTTTAAAAGTATATTTAAGTAGAAGAAACAAATTTATTGTCATTCTTTATCTTTTATATGTCATATTATATTAACTGTTTAGAATGATTTTATAATTAAGTGGTAAGTTCATTATCACATAAAATATAACTTTAACTTCTATAAATAGCTCTAGATCTTGTGTATTATCGGTAAGGATAGTTTAAATTCCGCAACGGACCCTGGAGAATCAAAAGAATTTCCAATAATATAGCTGTTATCTTAAATTTCAATTCCAATTTTATCAAGACTTATAATCCTATTGGTAAATCAACATAATTTATATTTCTTTTCGCTATTTAAAAAACTTTTGATTTTAATTTATAGCTTAAAAGTTTTTTTTTACCTAGTGTTGTATTAACTTGACTTTACTCTTTGACTATAGTTATTCTTTATAGCCACCCTAAGATAATATTTATATTGATTAGTGAGTCCGAAAACTCCGCAAAGACAAAAATATCAATAATACTTTAATACTTTTAAGTAACAATTATTGAAAATAAACATTGGAAATTCAACTGATTCTGTGTGACCCCAAAAATAACAAAAGACCACGAAATACCCTCTACTATTCCGTGCTCTAATTAAAGCAAAGGGTATCAGAAGGCAAGGGCAGAGATTAAAAAATAATACAAAAAAAGACCGAGCAACAGCAGCGGCCAACACACTAACAACACATAAAGAGCAGAGGGAATCGGCAACAAAAACATATTAATGAAATCGCTTTTAACTCGTTTCGCTTAAGTATTTTATGCCAGCGAGTATGTGCGAGAGTGTTAGAGTGTTGCTGGCATGGAGACATGCCTCCTCGTGTGGCCCCCCTTTTGGGTCTGTTATAAAAGTGCAACAACAACTTAATACACACACAGTCACTCGAAATAATAAAAAAAAAAACAGGCAGCACATGATAAAAACAAACACGATACGATCGGCGGGCGGGCAAGCGATGACCCAAAGTGGCCAGTCCACAATAAAAAATGGAATTCAAGTGTTTAATATATTATGAAAAGTATTAGCCTGTCCAAAAAATCTCTGTATATTGCTTGGAGCAAGTGCGCCAATTTTTTTTGATGTCGAAGCAAGTGTGTGCGTGATAATTTTTTTTTTTTTTTTTTTTTGTGACTGATTGTATAAGCCACTTGATGAGCTTTAGATTGGAGTTGCCAGATGGTCCAAAAGTCAGGAACTAACTTCCGCGATTATAAATAGATTTTTATGGTTTATTCCTCCAGCTTATCAATGATTATAAGGAATTTATTATAAAGACTGATAGGTATATTAAAACTTAACAGTTTTAAAGGGCTAATAATGAGAAATGATATTTGGTTATATTTTATAAAGAAATTGATAAGATCTTTACAGGTTAACTTATATAGATTTGATTAAACATTAAAATTTATCCTCGTATCTAGGTCATAATCGCCGCATTCAATTAAGTCAACCACGCTAAAAATAGCATGTGGGATTGAAAGCCAAAATAAATAGTGAGTAATATCGTGATCTTGAGGCCCACAAAAAAATGCATAAATACCAAAGGCAATGCTCTAATAAAAATCACTCCACCATGTAATAAAAACCAACTAAGAATGACCTCAATTTCAAAATTTTTGAAGGCCTTATCATGCCGGCAACAGATAAAAAGAAAGAGCTTGCATTAATGGGGAAAATTCGAGTTTTCTTTTGGCGGTTAATAGGGGAAAACAAATACTGAATATATGTACAAATCACTGTTTCCGTAATGATATATCGAATTTGGTGGCAGGCAGCACAAAACGATGTGTATACCAAACAGGGGTGAACAGGTAACAGAGGCGCTTAGAGCAACTGGTTCACAAAAGACCCGACCAAGAGACCAAGACCGCGCCAAGCGAAGGCCAAGTGAAATCAAAGTAACCAAATACAAAAAATAATACAAAAAAAAGTAAAATAAATAAAAAAAAGAAAGAAAAAAAAACTGCAGACTCGAGAAATAACGTCGCCCAATACATGGGAGATGGAGAAAAAAGCCATGAGACAGCGTCGTCTTCGATGGCCGCCATTGCCTCTTTTGGAGCATGTGTCTACATACATGTATTGGTGGGCATTTGGGTGTGTTTGTGTGAGTGGATTGAGGATTGGAGGTCATCAAACTATGACGTCGCCAAAAACTGACCCAAGACGATTGCAATTCTTCCAGCGAATTCTTGCAATTCCTATGCCCGCTTTTATCAGGGAAAGTTGAAACCGCAGTCTTATCAACCGGGGAACAAGTTCCGTGTTTTCCCCATATCTGGGTTAATTGATATGCTGATAACGCGGTGCACTCATCACAACTTTGACAAAGTATGAACCACACCCTTTACTATTTCTTCTGCAATCTAACCGAATCACGTGCACAGTCACAGCATCCCTTATGAACAATCTGGCAACGTTTCTCCGACCTTCTCTGCTCCAAATTAAAATCTAATCAAAGATTTCGAGTCCCCACGGGATAACATCATTTCTCGGCACATGCAACACGCTATATATAACATATAAAAATAAAAAAGTATATACTGTGGTCGCTCCAAAATGGGAACTGAAATAGGGCTGCTATCAGCAAAGTAATATGAATCAACCGCTTTTTTATAAAAAGTGCCCTGTGCTATTTTGTGTTAAGAAATATTAAGGTTTTATGACACAATTCGTTTTTTCACACATAGTTTGCGGTTGTTTGTCAAAACCAAATTTATTTTTGGGATTGATAAACAGAAAGGAAATGTTAAAATAATAAGAAATTATAAGTAAATACGCACTATTAGATACTAAGTTTGAACTTGGTACTTAAAATTAAAAAAAAAAAGTAAATTTAATAAACTTTGATTCCTTATTTGACAGAAGAGCTCTTGTTTCGAAGTTTAATTTTTAAAGGAAATTGGAACTTTAAAAAAGTTCCGAAATGGAAAAAATTGTATTTAATATTATTAATAATAATAATTTAATAATGTTTCATAGTGAAAGGTTACATTTTTAAGAATTTATTGAAATTTTGCAAAATTTACGTTTTTTATTTATAATTAAGTGTTTTATTTCTGGCATTATCAGTGTTAAAACCAAGCTCTGCAAATTTATTTTCGTGTGAACATGCTTCACATTCTGGTGAACATTAATAAAATGACTTTGAAAGTCTTTAGTATTCGTACATTGCGAGTGACCACTGTATTGTCCGAGTAACTGAGCCTGATGTTCGACTTTACACTTCAGATAAATCAAATTGGAATGATTGCAAATGAAATTGAAGTGACGTCAGCACAGAAATCCCATGAATTGGAATCTGGCAGGAATCCGTTACCCATTAGCCGCCCACCTACACACACACACACACACACAAAGCCAGATATAGAAACACATACTGTCAGAGATAGCTCACAGGTAGCTGCAATTATATAAAGTGCGCATTATCATCAGCTCCCTGCCTGTTTTTTTTTTGCCAAGATGCTCCACCACCCCCTTTCTTAGGAGTCTTCTTCTTGCTGCAGCTGCTGTGTCAGCTGGACCGGCATGCAATACTTTTTTATACATGCATATGTACATTGATACATATATATGTCTATTAGCCGGCAGTTGGGGGCGCACGCCCAAAAAAACAGTTGGTTTCTTCTATTTTTTCGTTATTTGTGGGCTCCCGTTTATAAAGAAAATGCCCAGCGCAGCACCCCGCACACACGCTGGCGAGCACACACTGTCACACACACTCATGTCACATTCTCTACTTCTAGTACTACCTATACCTACCACATTTTTTCCATTCCGCCTTCGTATGGATTTTTCGGCCACGTTTTTCACTTGTTTCCCTTTGGATTACCTTTAGGTTTTTGATCGCAAATTACTGGTAACAACGTCACCTGTCGATTGGTATGGCTTTCAGGGCGATATCTAACCGATTTCTCAGTGCAAAACGGCAACAACTAGCGCACAATGTGCTTACGGGCTGCTGCTGCTTCCTCTTATTGGCTTAACACCATGACAATTGGTGGCTGCAGAAAGAATGAGCGGTGCGGCGAGACGGCGAGAGCGAGTGAGTGAGATGAGAGAGAGAGACGGGGCGAATTGAAAAGCAACAGCAAAACACGCAACAACAACAATCAGAGAGGGGGAGGATGGCGCACGATGACGTTTGTGCCACCCACTTTTTGTCCAATATTACCGCAAAATAACTGTTATTTGTTGTTATACTATGTTGTTATTTACTATGCCATTAATTTGCCACTTTAATTTCAACGCACTTTAAAAGTTAAAAGCGAAATGAACAACTGCCCGTTTGTATGGCTGTGTGTGGTTGTGTGTGTGTGAGCGATTTGCCTTTCATACTTTGTTTGTTCTTTTACACGCTCGTTCGTATCGCAGCGTTGCTTTTTCAATATCAATCAGCTGTAAAAACATCTACATATATTTTCCAATTCGCCTTTCGCCCGATATTTCAAGGAAATATCTTGCCACTCACACAGAAATAATAACATACTGACTGACACACACACACTTACTCCCCCATATGTTGGTCGACGTTGCCCGGCAAATGTTTTTTTTTGTTGTTTACTTTTCACGTTCCGACGGCGCGGTCAGCTGTTTCAAAACAAATCGGTCGGTGTTACCAGCTGATTTTACTCAGCAACCTCTAAATATTATTTAACCACACTTAAATCATCCTAAAAATACCAAATTTCTACCAAATTTGATAATTGCGCGTATTTCGAACAAATTTATAACGTTTTTTAGTGAAAGTATTTGTTTCTAAAATTTCTAAAACTGGTTTTATGTTGGATTTAATCTTGTAAGAGGTGTTTTCTGTTTATTTTTAAAGATAATTATATTTTTTGAACCTAAAGTAATAATAATCTGCTTTAATAAAACCTGTAGAAATATAAAACGTTAATAATACTAAAATCATAGATTTTTTAAAGAAAATTTCAGCTCATTAAATAGTCGTTTACACTTAAATAAAAACCGTATTCCAAAAATTAATATTTTACATTAAAAACTTATTTCATTATCATTGGGAATTATAATTCGCACTCTATTATAAAATTAATAAATATTACATGTAGGTTTAAGGCAGCAGACATAATTATGTAAAAAAAATGTGTTTTAAACATTCTCTTTGAACATTTAAGGACGTTAATGCAACTTGATCTGTATAAACAAAAGTGAATTACAAATTAGGTTAAGTTAATACGTTATGAAATTCTAAAGTTTAGATTCTCGCTAATTAAACCCTATATTTTAAATACCTACTCTGATTTTATCTAAAATTATTAATTGAACAACGGGCGAGGAACTTCCGAAGGCTGTCCAAATGAAAAGTGCATTGAACTGCGGTCTGGGAAAGGACAACAAATTCGGCGTTTGTCTGGGAATTCAACACGTAGCCAATTCACAAAGCCGTCTGCACAAAAACAGAATAGTACATAAAAAATGCAAGAAGGCAAAAGGGTTAATCTTGATTCTTGAATCAGACCCGTTGAGAAGAAGGGAGCCCAGTCCTAATTGCATTTGCAGCCGCACAATCGAGTGGTTTCTTGATAAGTCATCCTCATCGAAAAGGGATGCAGTCGCAGCACGAGAGATTGCAAATTTTTCGGGGCTTATGCAGCGGTTTTTATATCGTTTTTGTTTTTTTGGCATTTCACTTATGATTAATGGAGACAGGCAAAGGGGTTGAAACAGAACAGTCACATTTAATTCCCGTCGGTCACAGCGCTGGATCAAATGTCAATTATCACAAACACCTCGTAGTTGCTGGCCTCCGCGTCCTGAACGATTTGCATGGCGGAATATGTGATTGCCTTCACCTCGGTGCCCTGCGGATGTTTTCCCAGCTCGAAGGGCTCCCCGTAACAACGGCAGGAGATCTCGAAGGTTTCCAGATCGAATTTAGTGATCTCCAGCTTTTTGCATATCAAATATGGTTCGGCGGAGAAAAGGAACAGCAGCTCGTCAAGGAAGTGGAAGAGAAGACCCTCCAGATCGTCGCCCTGGGCTTCAATTTCAAAGCACTGTTCCACAGAAACGTAATCCAGTTCAGTCATGTATCCAAACATGGCAACGCCACACTGCTCAAACGCCTCCTTTAAACTTGTTCCCCAGCCATGGATTCTGGTAAAAATAAAGATAATAATTTAGATTAATCATTTGATTGCCGGTTAAGTTAACTATATATACAAAATAACAAGTATGTATATATGTACATAATGTTATAGTTGTAAAAATTCGGAAATTGACCGAAACTGTGGAGTACTTATTATTTCACTAAATTTTGTATGTATTTAATCAGTAACTTCCTTTTTTATAATCTATGAACTAACGACTTAAAAAAGATACTTCTAGTAAGGTAAAAAGGCCTCTGACGTCTGAAACTTTAAAGGTCAGAATTGCAATTACAGCTATGTATGTACATATGTAAACTACTGCTTCTTTAGTTTTTTACTAAGAAGGTTGTTTTTTTTTTTTTTAGTAATATTAATATTAGTGAATGTTATTTTAAGTTATTCTACATAGTACACTTTTTATGATTACAACATACTTTAAAAAAAAGTAATTTTCAAAAGACATACATTTGTCAAGTTTTTGTTCAAAATCGGTTTGTATTTCAGTCTAAACTTGCTCACTATATTTGTAGCCCAAATTTTAAATTTATTTTATCACAAGAATAATAATATTATATTAATATTTTAAAAAACGTGTAATTCATTTCACTATGTATATGATTTTAACAAAAATACAAATTACCAATTTTGTCTTTAAAGCTATTCATCTTTCTTCTTATTCTTTAAAAACTCATCATTAGTGTCATATCACCAATTCCTAATCACCAAATCCTAATATAAATTTCTCTCATACGATCTTCTTGTCTTTTATATTTATAGATATCGAATCACCCTACTCCACATGGTCTCCCAACACTGTTGTTGTTTTCTTACTCACTGCACATCAGCCGTGTGATCCAAGTCTGCAACACAATATGATGAAATACTTAGCAACAGGTGGTAACCTTTTTAAAACAAAGATCTACTTACACTCGTACTTCACCTCCGGCAGCAGAAAGTTATCCTTGCTAAACTCCACCTCCATTATTATTATTAGTTGTAACTAAAATAAGCGCTAAACTTGCCGCAAAATAACTATAAACAAATCACCGACCGCACAGTATAACCATTGATGGGCAGCTGAAAAATACTAAAATTGCGAAATTAAACGAATATACTGAATTCTTATAAGAAAGATGTTATCAATTTGTAACTTACATGTTTTTGTACATATGTAGAGCTTAAAGAAAATAACAAATATTTATGGATGGTGATTGTATTAAGTATTTGATTAGAAAATTTTAAATATATATTTAAAAAAAAAGAATATTTGTTTAAATTACTAAGTATAATTCATTATTTAAATATTTTTATCAGCGTTTATCATTGCATCATTAAAATGTAAGCAATTGAATATTTTATTTACAAAATATTTTAAATGTAATGAGCTAGAATGAGCTCTTAATAGTAATATGATCACCTTTTAATTGTATATATATTATTTAAAGCATGTTATTTAATGAGTGTTCCAAAAATATCTTAAAAAGGATGTTATTGTTGATATAATATCTTTCAAAATGTTATTCAAGTTATCTTTCGAAGTACCATTGTAATTAAGTAATTTAAACTGAAATTCAAGCAGAATATCCAGTTTATGAATACCATTTGTTATCGCAATTAAACTACTACAAAGTGCTCGAGTTTTTTTTTTTTAGCCCCGTTTTAAATTTCTGTAAGAGCGACCTTGTCCTTTCATTAAATTGCAATCAGCCATAACAACAAAAGCTGCAACCTTGCGGGATCCATTTGGTAAAAAGCCGTCCACATAATCTTCTTCTCGCTGGCAACGCCGGCTTTTCTGTCAATCGCTACATTTTAAGCACGCGCGATTGTCAATCATGCAGCTCAATTTATTCAATTTCGTGAACTTGGCAGCTGGCTGTGAGTACTTGATTTGGCAATTAAAAATAAAAACCATAGCCGGACATCATGGGCTTGCCTTATTAAATTCAGATCACTTTTCAGCCGGCGATGATGGGTTATTGTTTGGAATGAGAGGGTTAAGGGAATATTAAGTCGTTAGATCATTCAACTTTTGGGTACAATAGAAAAATATTGCAAAAAGACAGTTGTAGAAAATGTTGAGGAATTTTAAGGTAAGGTCTTGTGGGATTTCTGATTTTTTTTTAAACAAAAATTGAGGTTTAAAACTAAAATATTTAGATAGAAAGAAAAATAATGACCCTATTATGATTATAATTCTTTTCTTACATATTTATACAATTTCATTATTTAGTTTAAGTATAGAAAAATGTTCTGTTTGAAACGAAAATGAAAATATCTTTAAATATAAATTAAAGGGTATCACTTAGTCTAATCTCGCTAGTCAAAAACTTCTACGCGCTTCTAAATGTATTTATGAATGATTTTTGCGAGTGATTTACGATTGTTTGGTTTTTTATTTGTCTCCATTTTTTACAAGTGGCTTTCAGGAAATGCGAATAGAGGGTGTCAAACTCAAATCCAAGTTGACAAAGCTCTGGTTTGTGCTCGGCCTTTTCATGGCTTTCAAACATTTTCCTGCCATTTTTTTGTGGTTTTTTGTTATGGCTCATTTTGGCTGCTGCTGCCACTTTTGGTGGAAGCCGTTTTCTCGGGTGTTCCCAGTCTTGGAGCGGTTCAGTTGGCTACGACAGCTCGCCAGATTCACGTCGCGTATTCGGCTCAGTTAACTGTAAAGTTATTATTGTTTTCGAATATTATTTGCGCGCCTTTGCGTACGAGTTCCAGAATTTAATATTTGGCCATAACATACAACCAAATTGATCGGGACAACAAAAACCAAAATAGCACAGAAGCTGCTCTAAAGCTCTGGAGTTGCTCAAGAAAACTAAACTTAGTAGCTATAGGTAACTTGTTTTGTTGAATAACTGACCGTTGGTCAACTGCAGTTGCAACCGCTAAACTGAACAATTGCCAAATATTAACATACGTTGTTGCTATCGTGTTGCATGAGTGGCTGTCTCTAAGTTGAAATAAAAGTTGTTCACACCCCCAAGTTTGTGTCTTATTGAAGTCTTTCGTTTGGCCACTGTTACTGTTGTAGTCGTAGTTTTCTTTCATGCTGTCTATTTGTGGCAGCACTAAGACCAGTAATAATCTGTGCGCTTAAGTTAAAGGGGTCAAGTGCAGGCCGCAAACAAAAAGATTACAAAACACATTACACGAAGAAGAGGTTGTTTGAAAAGTACATGCAAAATGTTTGTTATGAGAAGTGACACTTTTTGGCTCATGATGGATGAGAAGTCTTTCAGCATGCAAATAATAACTACAAATGTACAATTCTTCTGATTTCTTTCAATAATAATTTTTGGCACGAATAGAAGCTTTTTAATTAGAAAATAAAAAAAAAGTTAATCAAATTAGTAAACCTGTATTTTGCAATTCAAAGTTAAGGTTCAGTGTTACTAAAATCATAAAAATAATTAAGTATATGAATTTATAGTTTTTGTTACATCAATGATTTTTAATTTTGGAATGCAACATATTTTAGATTCCAAAAACAAATTAAAAAGAGATTAACGGATCAAAAATCAAGTTTCAAAGAGGAAGTAAAGGTGACTAGTTTTCATAAACATAAAACTGTAATTGTAACTGTAATAACAGTGAAATGTTAAAGATGATATTTTGAATTACTGAACATTTTGAACTGTTAAAGTGAGCAAATGGGAAACTAAATCTTTAATTATATATAAAAGCCAATAAGAAGATCAAACCTTATGCAAAATCCAAGGACACTATTAACAACAAATACCAGTAGCTCTTCAAGCCCACACAAAACAGCAATTCACCTGAAACTAAATATAAACAAAACGCGAGCAAAGTCACATAAACAATAAAAACTTTACCTACATTTACCATAGCAATTAACAGTGGTCAAACAGTGACTGCAAAACCCAAACCGCTACAATGTCGCAACAGTGGCTCGCCAACTGTGCTAGGTATTTGGTCTATCTGGCGCTATTTTTGCTCTTTGCCGCTCACCTTGCAAACGCCTCCAATCAAATCGATGTGGATGCGGATCTTAAGCACATGCTAGGACGTTGCCACGAGACGGACGAGGATTTCAATGAGTGCATGCGGCAGGTGTTCAACGATCTGAGGGCCTACTTTACGACGGGTGAGTTGCGATTTGAATTGTAGGCGAACCATAATGAAGTAATTTTTTTCCAGGTATACCCGACTACAACATCAAGCCCTTTGACCCGCACCACTGTACCTATGTGGAGCTGCGGCGAGGTGATTCGCACGGCCTGGGCAGCTTTCGGCTGATCTTGCGCAATGTCTCTGAGTTTGGGTGGGCGCGATCGGAGGTGACCAAATTTCATGCCGATCCCGAGGACCAGCGTATCGTCTACACCCAGTATTTTCCGGAGAAGAGTTTGGAGGGAGAGTACGAGTTCGCCGCCAAGATGCTGGGCACAGAGATGAACCGGAAAGGCCACTGGAACCTCACCCTCTACGATTACAGGTGAGTAGAGCGTTGCATGCAAAATATTTCCCAAGCTGTGTTGCCAACTTGAGTATTGTTGTACTTTTGACTTTTATGTGGCTTCACTGCTCCCAAGTTGACAAACCTTTTCTAATTATTTTATATTTCCTAATCAGTCAAACTACTAGTGTACGTCGCATAGGAGAACCGGGTTCGCTTATCAAGGTCCATGTGGAAGTAGATCGCATTGGTGGAATGGAGCTGCATATTGAGAATCTGCTACAGGGTCAGCCACTTAACCAATTGGCCGATGGAGTTATTAACAGCATGTGGCAGCTGGGGTTGCCCTTCATCAAGCCAATGATTAACGAGTTGGTCAGCACAGCATTCACGGATATTTTCAACGAATCCTTTCGATACTTTCCTCTCGAGAAGTTCCTCGCCACGTGACCTCATCTAGTTTCTAATGTTTGTTTTGTAGTATTTTTAATGGAAATTCTTACAAAGGCTAGTTAATTAAAGACTTAGACGACATCTGCCAAAGTGCTAGCTATTAAATCATTGTGGGGACTCGGTCTCGGCGGTTGCAAAGACATCAGAGCCAAGGTCCGGCCAAAGATTTTGCTTAGCGAGATAATCACGTAGGCGGAGGTCTGCAGTTGCTGATCCACCGTTTCGTAAAGGAGTTGGTAGGCCTGCTCCAGCTCCGGCGTTAGGGTGGCTATAAGAACAGAAAACAACAAATAATATAATATATTGTTCCGAATTCTACGAGATCTTATGATATTTTCCTTTGTAATGAAAGGATTTCCCATGCATCACTTACGTTTTTGCTGCAGCTGTTGCTTGCCAAGGTCAAACATGAATCGCAGGTAACAGAGTTGATTGTACAGGTCCCGCTCCGTATACTGACGCAGCAGGCTGCCGTTTTTGCACTTCGGGCACCGCGGTCGATGCAACTCCTTCCTCAAGGTGTGGGTCCGCGTGTTGTAGTTACAATCCGGATGATCGCAGACCATCCAATTTTTGTAGAAACGCTGCACATACCGTCGAATGGAGAGCTGCAGCTGATTGCGGACGCTGGCCAGGTATTGAACAGGTGCCGTTTGACACTCAGAATTTGAGCATTGCTGCAGAACGGCTATGTGAGAGTTGCTGGCTCCAGGACGGAAGGCACTGGCCATCAGCTGCTTCGTCTTACAGGCCACGCACTGGAACCGGAAAGGTTCGCAAAGGCGGTACAACTGAAGGGTCGTTTTGAGGAGGGTCTCGCTCTCGGACTGCTCGGTGGCCTCTCGTTGGACTCTATGGATGATTTTTAATTTATCTTATTACGTAAAAATGAATATAGTGAAATGCGTACCTCTGAGAATTCTGTCGGAACTTGGTGGGATCCATGCCGAGGCACTCTGCAATGCGACTCGCATCGGTTCCTTCTAGCACCTCCACCATGCGCGTGACCACCGGATGTATCTGATGTCCCAGATAGTAAATAGTGTCCAGCTGAAGCTTTTTATCCTCGCTGCTCTTGAGCTCATCCAAATGATAGGCTCGCTGCATGGCAGCATTTGTGCTGCCATCCAAGCAGATAACATAGTCCACCATATCCCCCTTCTTGTACCGCCTGTTGCGCTCCCGATTCATGCGAAGAGCCACCTGGACATGGGGTAACGAAGCACTATTCGGATATTCCTGAGGAGCCCGCGTAAGCTGCTTGGTGATAACGAACAACGGAAGAGGTACTGCACCTTCTGCTATTTGATCTTTTATCTTTCCAAGTTGGGCATGTACTGCGGCGATTTTTTCTTCCAGTGGCTTTTCGGATAGAACCTCATCGAGAACAGCTTTTCCCACCATTACAGCCAGCTGAGACCAATCGCGACGCACTATATCCAGACCTTTGTGCTCCTGTTCCCTCTTCAGGTTACCCTTAGAATCCTTGCTCAACTTGACAGCAGCATACTTCTTTTTCTTCAGCAGCAGCAAACAGCTAAAGACTCCATCGATATCCAACTCCAGCTGCTTGTACAGTTTATTTACATTCTGCTTGATGCTGTGGCCAATCTTGTAGACCTGGTCGTAGTCTGTTATATTGGTATTGATCATAATGGAATCCGTGTCACCATAAACCACGTCATAGTTCAGCTTTTGCACGAGCTGCTGTGTGTTCGTGAGGATTTCTCTGCCTTTGTGGGTAACCAAAGCAGCCAAATGCTGGGCGAAGAATCGTGAATGGGCGAAACCCAAGCAACCATACATAGAGTTGGCTGTTAGCTTCAGCGCCATCTGTCGAATGTGGTACTGCATCTGTAGTTCAGGAGAAAGATCAGGTGCTGCCATTAGCTTCTTCACCTCCTTTCGCGACTCCACAAGACGCTTCAACTGGAGAGGCAATATTCCAGCATCTGCTTTGGAATCTGGTAGAGTGGGCAACTCGTCCGCATCTACGGGCTGTTGGACAGTGGTGAAGCATATGTTGTACTCCTGAATTATACTTGGATACAGGGAATTAAAGTCCATTAAGAGGACAAACTTTTCGTAAAGACCACGCATTGGTTCCAGAACCAAGCCACCAGCATAGGCTGCCTTCTTTTTGGCTGTCAAAGTAGCATCGGCACCAGCTAATGTGGCGTCTAAATCTCCCCGTTTTGTGCTCGGCTTTTTATCCGGCACTATGTAGTTCTTCTCATGGAAAGCATGTAGAAGTAAGAACTCATTCCGTTCGGATCGACCTCCTTGAAGGGTTCTGGTCATCGTATTGCCACAAATATTGGTGATTTGCAAAGCCAAGGGCATGATATTTAGTTCACACATCAGCCTTAGTAGATAGGAGTTATCCTGCATGGTGAGGGATATGAGCTTGGTGATACTCTCTCCTTTCTCGTACATCTCTAGAAGATCATCGGCATTCACATCCATTCTTTCAGATTCCTTAAGCTTCAGGACCTGTTTACACAGGGTTTGGAGATCATAGGACCTGGCCCTTATACACTCCTCCGCTGAACGCTTTACATCGCAAACCATCCTACCCACAAAGTGATCCAATAAACGCTTGCCAAATGATTGGGTCATTCTAAGACGCCCTATTCGGGACCATTGGGGAATCTTCAGGGCCACAATTTGATCGGTAATAACATTCAGCTGACAATCCATTGAATCAAAGGTCACAATGAGATCGGCATCTATCTGTTGGTACTGGGCCAAGAACCAACTTAACAAGGCTCTTTCCGAATCGTGTTTGTATATTTTGGTGGACTTATATTTGGCTATCTCAAAGTTCAAGTCCAAGGGCCAACTAACCACCGCTGGACGAGTCAAAGCACACATATGTCGATTGAAAGCGGGCTGCGGAGCAGGACGATCGATATGGAATCGATTGTGGGTCAGCATCGAAATCATGCATATCTCATTCCTTGAAGTTTTGGGATTCATTGAGGTGCGCACATTGAGTGCTAGTAGAGTAAGAGGAGGTGGTGGCGCTGGTTTGCCTTTATCTTGTACCAATTCCACATTTTTAGGCTCTGACACGGTTACCTCCGTTTTACACCAACTCATGGGCACTGGGCTAACCTTAAATCCACTCACCTGCAACCAGCAGGGTCCCTTGATTTTCCTTTCTAGGAGGAAACGTTCCAAGGCGTTAGTAGTGGCCCCAAAAATATGCGCTATGGAATTATATTTCTTGGTTGCCGACAAATTGGGCAGCGGTTTCTTGCCATCGTAGTGAACCTCTAAGTAATCACAAGATTGGGGAACTTCAATACCAATGGCGTGGTGGGCAAAACTCTTAGTCACTTTGCGGGATCGGAACGTGTCCAGTTTAAGGGCGCTGGCCACCTCGCTGTCAAACTCCTTGTAGATATCTGCCACGGTAACCATTTGCTTGGTAGGCTCTTTCGAAATGGGATCCAGTAGCTATAAAAGTGATTTTAAGGATTAAGATTTTGTAAAATAATATACTCCGTATACTTGATATTCTTAGCTTTGGAACTTTTTGGAAATCTTAACTTTATAATACTCACAAATTGTCGTGGTAGCAGATAGAGCACTCGGTTGATATTCTGCACCCGCACGCAGACAGACACTCCATCGGCAGTTCTTCCAAAGAGAAAGACCTCGCCGGGCAGCTTAACTGGATCCTCCCAGGCTTCCCAACACCAAAAGCGAAGCTGTTTATCGGCGGAGATGGGTGATTCTTGTTCCGCAGTGAGCACGGATTTTTCAAAGTCATCATCCATTTGGCAGATAGACTCCCAGTTGCTCAGTAGCTTGCTCATGTCCTCCGGCTCACTTTCCTTTGGGGAACCAGCTGGCTCCTTTTTGGGCGTTACTTTTTCGACGACTTTTAATGAGGATGTTTTCTCAGCTGCTGTTTTAGTTTGGGTAGTCTTCTTGGGCTGCTCCTTCTCCACATCGAATTGGTTTTCGTCGTCATCCAGACAGCTGAAATCCATATCATTATCGGAGAAGGGATCTTCCGTTGCTTCTTTGGCAGGTGGTTTTTCAGGAGCAGGTTCCTTCTTAACCGTAGGAGTAGAGAAGAAGGCCACTTTTGTGTTTGGAACTGTGGCCTTTGGTTTAAGGATGCGCTCCAACATTTCATTATCACTACTAGCCTCCGCTTTCTTTCGTTCCTGCTCCTGAACTTTGATATTGTTGAGGAAGCTGTTCATGTAATCCTTCGCTGCTGCGGCTTCGGATTTTCGCGAGGAAACAGATATTTTCGCCGGCGCTATAATCTTTTCAACCTTTTCAGATGTGCTTGCAGGCTCTTCTTTGATCTCTCCCAGAATATCAGCTAGGATATCATCATCTTTGACACTGTTTTTGATGTCCACTTTTTTTGGAACTGCATTGCTGAATAGATTCTTGATTGACGCCTTTCCTTTAACAGGTTTTTCATCTTCACGGGCTCTTTTCTTTCCGTGGGGTGCAACGCCCTTTTTCTTTTTAGAGTCTTTTCCCTTCTCTTCGTTATCAGAGTAATCATCTTCATCCTCGAAGAAATCCCGAAGATCTTCTGCATAACCAGTTCCATCTGAGAAAGGGAAAGATTATTTAATGTACCACTGTTCACGTTTTTGTTATGGGTGCTCCTCCAGATCCTTTTTTTACCTTCTTCAATCCAATCGTCGCCGTATTTCTCCTGCGCCCGCTTTGCATATTCTCGCTCGTCCACCACATCGTATACATCATCAACCTGGTCTTCCACCTGGCATTTGTTCTTGGTTCCCTTCAGTTGTCGAAGTCTTTCCATTGCTGCGAACCTGCCATTTTTGTCTATTCGCTGACGCTTGGCGCGGGGACCAGCTATAAACAGATTATTCTAGTAAATAAATTTTAAAATAAGGCCATCTAAAATACTTACAAGGTGATTCGGACATTTTAACTAGATATTTTTGATTAAATTCCCCGTGTTGTGCCTCAGTTTCATTTATTTTATGGCCAGGGCTGGAGCGTATTGAAGCGGGATTGGCGGGAATATATCGATAAAAACCAAGCGATGAATTAGGGGCTGCCAGACTTTTGCGAGTTAAAATATTGAAGTTAGCAGATGGAGAACATTATTTAAAAAACACCGATTTAACAACCGTAAGCATAAGCAATACTTATAATTAGTAAATCTTGACAAATACAAAACTTTTATATTCGATTATTGCTGTAAATAAATTGAAATTGTAGCTTAACAATAGGCGCGAAATATAATTATAAATGGCAGCCCTGTTATTCAGCCCTAGGCGCTGTTAACGTTGAACGTGGCAGCACTACTGTTAGTCGTTAACAGCGAAGTTTACAGAATGTTTGGCGGGAATTCAAGTTAGCAACCTAGTGCGTCGGGAGGCGAATAGATTTTATTGGATTTTAACATTTTATTCAAAAGAGAAACAACTACTAGCGGTCTTTTTTATTACAACAAAATCCACCGACTAAGCGCAATTTCACAACTATTAGCACATAACTAAAAGTTCTGTTATTTTCTGTTAAAATATTAGCTTGCCAAGCTAGTAAATTTGAAGAATTTTTGTTTTTCTAACGCACAGTTCATGCTGTAATTTTTTCAGTGGGCAATACAAAAATTCTCGTTTCGTTTCTATATTATCTATTTATTTTAATATAATCATGACAGCAGATTAATCCAGAATTTACAACAGTGTCACAGCAGTTGTATTGCAGAGATAGCCTAGTATTAGCGATTATGGTATTTATAATTTTATTAATTTTTTAATTTTTTAAATTGAAGCAAACAAATTTAAGTAGATTTCAAATTCAAATTTTAGTTTCTGTAGAATTTAGAAACTTAAAAAAAATGTTTCTCTCTTGATGTTTTTTAAATATAACCCTTTGCAGTTGTAATCCGCTTGCAACTCCCAATAAAAAGACAATAGTTGATTTGGTTTTATCTATATTTTATTTATCATGCATAATATTAGGCTTAAATAATATACTTTATCATACTTTAAATACAATATACAGCAGTTTTGCTTAAAATTTGTGTGGATTCGAAGGTGTTTTTCATTCCCTATAAAATAATCAATGCAAAATCATGGTTTATATATATACACACATACACAAAACAGACTTACATATTACATGAATACATATATTTATGACTATATTTGCTGTTTATAATTGTTATAAGCAAAAATTCATATATATTTACAATTTAAAAGAAAATATTTAGAATTTCTGCATTAATAGTCTTTATTTTTTTACAAAGTTTTCAGGGTGTGTTTGTGAGGAAAGTGATTGAAAGATGAAAATAGATGGAAAATACTGTTTTAGTAGAGGGTGATCGAGAGGAACTATAGGAAAGTTGTTGAAAAGTCAGTCTACCAAAGGAAAATGTATAGTAATAGCATAATTAAGATGAAAGCAGATAGAGATTTGGGGTCTTTGAGGTATTTTCTTCAGCTATGGGGTGTATTATTCATTTCTATATGGTTTTTATTATTTTCATTTCAAGCCACTGACATGGCACAACAATTTATGTTTTTTTTTTCGATTTTCAGGAATTTTCTCCACTTATGATTCCCATAGTTTTGGCTAAACATTTAACAACAGCAACGAATATAAAAACAACAACAAATAATGGTTAACAAGTGCAAGATGAAACTGCAAAGAAAAAAGGGAAACAAATGAAGAAATTAATATTTTGTTAGAATTATATTGAAATTAAAGTAACTAAATTGCTACGTTTCATATATTATTTTTTAAATGTTAATATTTAAAAAAATTGCTATTTTTATTTTAAAGTTTTATTGAGATTTTATAAATTTATACTATTCCTTAAAATAAGTTTCTCACCTTGCTCTGTGCCTGCACAGATGCCACAGATGCTAGACCCACTGTACGCCTTTCTCACACCACCTGCACGGTGGCAAAGGCACTAAAGGTGACCTTCTTGGGGAATTCCGGTCCGGGTGAGCCACGTGTCTTGATCACCGGCTTGAGGGGCTGTCGGGGTTTCAGGGAGAGTAGTCCGGCGGAGGCGGCCAATTCCCTGAGTCGCTGGGAGAAGCCGCTGCCAGAGTGTCCGGATGTGGTGGCCGCGTTGTGATGCTCCAGACCAGCACAGTCCAGAACATCCAGGCCGTTGTTGGAGCGATACACCTGGGCGGTGGCAGTGGGATAAACCGCCAGATTGGTGCCACCGACGCCTCCTGTCGCTGAGGTTGATGAGGTTGCCGTTGCCGTAGCCGCTGCTGCTGGTGTTATGTATCTGAAAAGGAATAAATAGTTTCAAATTAGACTTGATGATAGTAAAAATACATAATAACTAAAGTTGTTTTTTTAAATATATGAGAGAATCTCAAAACAAATAAATGGATTTTCCCTTTTTAATTTAAGAGTTTACAAAATGCATACTGAAATAATCTTATTATTTTATATAAAGTTAAAAAAATCAAATTAGCGTGAGCATTAGCACATGAAAAGAAAAAGTTTAGTACCTACGAGAAAAATGGTTGCACGTCATAACCAACGAGTGCGAACAAAAACCTATTCAAATAGGGTAAGGAAATATATTCCCATATCGTTATCACCATCTGGATGAATGGATAAAGAAGATTGGCAAGGGCTGGGCGCTGATATTACTCAGCCTGCTAATTAATTTATTTTTTATTTGAGCAGAAACTAAATCTACACGTGCCGGGTGTGAAGAGATCACCCCACATCCACACAGAGGTGTGTCCCAGCAGGTCGCACACAACTGCGAACTCTTGGGAAGGATGATGCCCAGACTTTTGGATTCCCGTGCATGGCAACAGCTCTGTTCCGCTATCAAATCGCAGATATATATATTCATGATCCATCAGTATTTTTTTGTGTGCCAAGTAGGCTTTGTTCAGGCTGCTCTTGCTGCAACGCTAAAGACGCTAATCAATTTGTTTATGAGCTGGGCTTTGCTTTGGGCTACTTTAGTTTATATATATAGTATATCTATATATTTATATACAGATCTATTTTTTTTGTGTTGTCTTGCAAAAATATATATGCAAATGAGTTCACAAACAGCAGCCTCGTTTTTTTCTTTTTTTGAGATAATTGTTTTGCCGCGAACTGAAATTGTTGGGTAAATAAAGTGTGATGAAAAATGAATGCCAGATGAGACATCAATACGCCAGTAAGGAGATCCGAGTGCTTGATCATTCAAGGGGTATATCCACTGTAAGTCGAAAGTAAAGCCCAAAAAATGGGTAACTTCCACTTGGTAATCATTGAGATTCAAGTGCTGAGGTTCATCTGGGTCTCAAGGGATCTTTGTAATTGGGTTCATGAGAAGCAAATATTTACACAATTGTATAACATATTTATTTGTTATTTTTCAGAAATTTGAATGGGAAAGATCGATCGTTTGAATCATAGGGGAAAGTTATTTGTTTAAAATGTTTTTTTTTAACAGAAAATGGAAAAAAATGAACCTATTTACGATGAATCTCTTCCTAAGATTCCATTTTTACTACCAAGAAAATTTATTTGGAATTAATTTGGCTCTAATTAGTTTGTTTATTTACAAAGTCAATTTACATTGTCATCCCCAACAGCTTCGAAACAAAACAACAAATTATAATTAACTTATTTGTTTTCATTTTTTTTGATAATATTTACAAATATTTTTATTTACCATTTACAAAGATACTTAGAAATTCGGCATGGAAAAATATTATTTTTATAGTTAATATATTGAATTTCAAAATATTTTTAAGCCACAAGAAACCTTATTTGGTAAGGGTATTTTTCGGGCATAAACATTTAATTGCCGTTTGCTTTTTTGGCTTAATGACTGTTGCTTTTGGTTTTTTGTTTCTGTGCTTTTTACGATAGATTCGGCATTCGGCATTGTTGGGTTAATTGTGGCAATTATTTTGGCAATATAATTTGCTTGTTTGATGTCAATCTCAGCCACGCTTGCCCTTAGACTGCATTTGGAGTGCAATTTTTGCACTTAGATCGTAACTAGCACGAATTAGCATAATAATGCCTCGTGTCTGAACTTCCTAATGAAGTCAAAATTTGAATGTCATTTTAGTTGTTTAGTCTTCCTAGAATATAAACCCATTTAGAATATAAATTAGACTTAAGAGGTTTCTAAGCCTCGAATACGTTTTGCATTATCCACGATTTGGCTTATCTCATCCATAGGCATTATCTATTACCTGTTTAGGAATATATATCTATCTAGGTCACAGTCGCAGTTGGAGTTAAAAAAAATCTTAATTACATTCATTAAATTTGTTTGCTAGGCTTTCAATGGAGTTTATTGGTTTCATTGCCCGCCTTTTCATGCCCTTTGCTCAAGTGCTCGAACCGTGTGAATTATCTTCGGGTTTCGTTTTTTACAATTTTGTTCATCTTTTCAGCGGCCATTGTTCTTGTATCTGTTTTTTTTTTTTTCATTTTTGCTGAGGCTGCGCTTTATGTGTATATAATTAAGCATTATCAGCTGGGAGTTGCATTCAAAATGTATTTTGGTCGGTGGCTTTTGTCTTGGTCTGTGTTTGTTTTCGCTTTGGCATTGAACTTTGCTTTGACTTTGAGTCTTTGAAGCATTCAGAAAATCATAATTAATTATAATATTATAAACATCTTCATATTGTCTGGCCCATCTACATATGACTGTCTGTCTGTATCTGCCAGTGTGTGTGAGAAAATTTCTTGCCATTTTTCTCACAATTTACAGTTGAAGGGGAATTTTTCGTTGAGTTTTTTTGTTTTTCAGGCATTTTATTTGTTTGTTTTACTTTTCGGTATTTGTAGCAATGTCAGGGGAAAGTACAAAAGCCAGACTCCAAATTGTTGCAGTGGGAATGATCTCGAATGTGTCCGTAGGAGAATTTTAATTAGGTGTCCCAGGGTCTTAACAAAAATTTTAATGAACTTTTTTAGGAATTTTTAAATTGGAGTTTTCGTTGAACAAATTTCAGATATATTTAGCTAGATAAAAAGGATCCCTGTCACGCTTGCTGTTAGCATAACATATTGATATATATCCTAAGCTTAAAAACATCTTTTTTCTCATCAATGTCATTCTTAATTCTAAAGATTTCTATTTAATTTAGTTAATTTATCCATTTCTATGCAGATAAAAATCGCTTGTCTACTTTTTTTCACAATAATGCATTCTTCTAGAGAGCTCTGAGCCCGCCAGCACTTGTCCAATCCCATAACTCAGTTCCCATGCATCTCCCACCCCTCCCCCTCACAATTAAAACGCATCCAAATTGGCTTAAAGAGTTGCTAATTTTGACCCAATTCTCATCGCCTGTCTTTTGAGGGGGGGAAGTGGGTTTTATGGGGGATCAGACCGGTTAACTTAATAAATCATAGCTAATTTCGGCTTGCCCAAGATGTTTGTTTGCTTCCCCATTTTATTTTTATTTATGCAGCTCCATTGACTCCGTTCAAGTTCAGCGAGCGCATAAATTTAAAGCCAATCGAAAGGGAAGCGCAAGTTTGGCCAAAAATAAAATTGAGTGATTTTCGGTTGAGGCAATTTAATCGGTAGATCAATGAAATTGATACCAGACTGGCAGTTAATTTGATGTGGCAATCTCTCGGCCGCGTTGCATCCGCACAAATATTTCAATTTTGATGTCACGAAGTTGTCAAACTTTTGACAAATCACCAAAACAAGTTTCGCCGGCCAAGTACTCGCAAGTTGGCCAACAACACGCGGCGGCGGCGGCGACGATGCTAAACATTAGGCAAATGTCTGGTATTATAATTTGTCAAATGCTCTCGACATAAATCCATCAAACGGAATCAATAGAAGAGCAAAAAGCAAACAAATTGCATAATAAATCCAAATAAAAGCCAGGCTTACCCATAAATTGGGTAAGAGTTCAAAGGAGAAGGGGAAGCACAGGTGTGCCGATAAAGAGGGGTTCCTAGATGCACTGGAAAAGTATTATATAGTGAATTATATAGGTAAACAATGTATCTTGAAGCTATAAACCATTATATATTTTTAATAAAAAATGTATAACAGTTTTTTTTAGCATAAAACCATTTTTAAGAATGCTCCATTTGTATGACACTTTGGAACAATTATTACAAACATAATGTTAAATTTACCCATTGATATAAAGGAAAGGCAATAAAACGGTTCTAAGCCCGAAAAGCCCGATAGTATCGAGTACCACAGGTACTTTGCCTGCTCTAGAGATATCTAGAGATATGGCATAGAAAAAGCTGGGGAACTCAGGCAGCTGCCGGCTGTCTTCTAACATAATTACATATTTTTACTGTTGCAGTTGCATCTTCTTTATGCGGCCTGTCTGGTACTTCCCCCTGCCACCTGCTCGCTGCTTGTGTGGCATGTTAAGCAGCTGCCCAGAAAGTGGCAAAAAGAAAATATATAATAACGAAAGAAACGAAAACAAAAGAAGCGCCGCACATGCGCAGTTTCACATCCGCATCGCTTTCTTCCCCCTTTTTCGGACTCCGCTAGCCCCCTTGGTCCAGGGCCCAACAATTGCTTTATTTTGAGGCAAATGAAAAGCAATTTTTATGCCACAATTATCCGCCAGTGTCGAAGAGGAAGAGGAACGCGAAGTGCCAGCCTCCAGTTCGTTGCCTGAGTCTTTTGTTTACCATACGACACAAAAATATTCTAGAAGAGCCTGAGGATGGCGTATGGTTGGCATGGAAAGTGTCGCAAGCTGCACAGATTTCAGGGAGAAAATGCTGGAGGCACAGGTTTTACCTATACGTTGTGTTTACAGTTTGACAGTCATTGAAACAGATTGTCCAACATTAATGGGTAGTAATTGTTTTCTAGTTAATAAGATGATTAGTGGAAAGTTACATTCTAATTACAATCATTTAAAAAATTTAAGTAATTACATTCTAAAGTGTCCAAAAATATAATAATTGAAATAAATACGTAAAGAATCAGTTAAAAAAAAGTTGTTTCTCTAGCTTAAAAATAAAATTACCAAAAATATTTACACCATTTTTCAAGAAATCATTAAAAACCTAATAATTTCCATCATTGCTTTTATCCAAAAACCAATAACAACGCCTTACAGTCGATACAAGCTTTCAAAAAAAAAAACACTTCAATTTTGTTTTGCTCTGCTTATTTGGTAATATAATTTATTTGGCATACTTTAACCGACTTGTTATTAGCATTGACTGGTTCTAACAGCCCGCTGTTGTTCTGCCGCCTGGGCATAAGTAATGTCTATATAAAAATATATATCGCATCATTTGGCTCGA